CCCAAGGAATGACCTTCCATTGTTTTCCTAACCTCAGTCATCTTGCAGCATAAATGAAGCATACTATTAAAGAGAACAGATTTTCAGAAGAGAAAATACTGAGGACTCAATTTCAATGATTGACACTTTAACCACTGCAAATATATGAATGGCAAATAAGCACATGAAAAGATGTACAACCACACAATTACAGAAATGAAAAATAAAACTGCAGTGAGATACTACTATCAAGTTGTTGGAATAACTGAAATTAAACAAGGACTAACAAAAAGTATTAGTAAGGATGTGGAAAATGTGAGAACTTATATAGTACTAGTGAGAATATAAAATGATACAATCACTCTGGGAAAAACTTTGTTAGTTTTTCAAAAACTACCCACCAGAGTCATCTATCTATTCCATTTCTACATATTTACCCAAGAGAAATGAAAGTATTATGGATTTCTATATGAATATCCATTGCAGTTTTCTTTGTAATAGCCCCAAACTGGCAACAATCCAAGTGCCTATCAACAGATAAATGGATAAACAAATGGCGCTATCTATACAGTGGAATACTACTGACCAATATAAAGAAGTGAACTATTTGTAAGTGCACTAAATACGGATGAATCGCAAAATAATTATAAAGTAAAAGAAGTAAGACCCTCCCCCAAAAAAGCCAACTTTATTGGTGTTAATAAAGTTGTAGGAGGACTTAAGTCACCAAAAGCAGGTTAGTAATTGTCAGGGCTTGGTTAAGGGATGATTATTATAAAGAGGGAAAAAAAAAAACTTTTTGTAATTGGAGTAATATTCATTACCCTCATGATGATCATGGTTCTGTGACTGTACTCCTATGTCAAAACTTATCAAATATTCACGGTAAATGAGAGCAATTTATTTATATGGCAATTAGATCTTTACGAAATTATCCAAAAGTAAAAGAAAACAAAAATATATGATACAGATTTTGGTCTGAACTCCCAAAAAGTAAATTTTTATCAACCGATCATAAAATGGCTACAGAATAAGCAAATTTTGGGGAGAAGAGTAAAAATTTTTCCTTTGGGGCTGGGGATTTAGCTCAGTGGCACAGCGCCTGCCTGGCAAGTGTGAAGTTGTGAGTTCAATTGCTGGGACCGGAAAAAAAACAAAACAAAAATATTTTGCCTTTAAAATGTTTAATTTGAGCCGGGTGTGGTGGTATATGCCTGTAATCCCAGCACTTGGGAGGCTGAGGCAGGAGGACTGCTGTGAGTTCAAGGTCAGCCTAAAGTCCATAGTAAAACCCTGCCTCAAAAAGACAAAAACAAATCAGGAAATAAAATACTGAATTTAATGAGCATACTTCAAAATTCATATACAAATTTCACGCAATCTCAATCAAAATACCAACAGCATTCTTCATAGAACTGGAGAAAATAATCTTTTTTTTTTTTTTTCTTCTGGTACCGGGAATCGAACTCACAACCTTGCGCTTGCCAGGCAGGCGCTTTGCTGCTGAGCTAAATTGCCAGCCCCCTGGAGAAAATAATCTTAAAATGCATACAGAACCAGAAGAGACTCAAAACAGCAAAAGCAATCCTGCGTAATAAGAGCAAAGCAGGAGACATTACAATACTGGACTTAAAATTATATTACAAAGCTACAGTAATGAAAATAGCATGAAACTAGCACAAAAGCAGACATCAGGATTCTGGCACAGAAGCAAAATAGAGGATGCAGAAACAACCCCAAGCACATTTAACTATCTGATCTTTGACAAAGGGGCCAAAAAAGGGAAAACTGGCTATCCATATGTAGAACACAGAATCCAGGCCCATCTCTCTCACTACACAGTAAGTTAAAATCAAGATGGATCAAAGAACTAAACATTAAAACAGAAACACTTAAGCCGCTAGAATATAAAATTCTTGATGTCACTGGCCTAGGCAAGGACTTTCTGAACAGAACCCTGGTTGTACAAGAAATAGTACCAAGATTCAAAAAAGGGGTCATATCAAATTAAAAAGCTTATGTGCAGTGAAAGAAAAGACAAAAAAAGTGAAAAGACAACATATTTTTGCCAGCTATTCCTCAGATGGAGCACTAATGTCTAGACTATATAAAGAACTCAAGGTTGCATAAGCAAAAAGTGATGAAAAAAGGAATTAAGTGTTATATATCTATACAACTCCACACAAGGAATATAAACAACTCCATACAACTCCACACAAGGAATATAAACATTATGTACTATAAACATACACTGATAAAAATAAATTTTAAAAATACAATGTTGAATTTGAAAAGTCTGTCTGATACATAAATACAGAATCAACTAGGAAATTAAGTTTATCTTTCTATACTCTGGATTAATGATACAAATTTGGAAGTTTTCAGCATGTAAAAGGAGCTAAGCATTGTGGCGCATGCCTGTTATCCCAGCAATCAGGAAGCTGAGACAAAGGAGGATCCTTGTGAGTTCTAGGCCAGCCTGGGCTACAAAGTGAGCTAAGGCCTGCCTGAACTGCATACCAAAACCTCAAAAAGACACACACACCAAAAAAAAGCATGTAAAAGGAATATTTAAAAGTCAACTATGCTTGAATAAAGTAGATAATGCTCAATAATTATTAGTGGAATGAGCCAAAGTTCTAAGTACTTTGTTAATTTCATCCTAACATCAACCTTACAAAGTAGGATCATTTCCATTTTGAAACTATACAATAAAGGATAGTAACTTGCCCAAGATCACACAACTAGAAATTATAGCTGAAGTTCAGCAAGTGCTAATAGCTATTAGAAAACAAAGAAAGATAATGTGTTAATTAGTGATACTGACCCTCCGAAGAAGAACAATTAAAGTCAAATATCCCTAGACTATGAAGTAATAAAGTAGCCCAATTATAAACCTAAGAAAAATTCCCCAATCATAACTACTCATTAGTGACTTCTCTCAAATTTTATATGTATTAAACGCAATGCAATTTACAAGCTAAAGAGATTAAAAACTGCTATCCAAGTATTGTATTTTTGTTATTTTAAAACCGCTAGAAGAAAAGGGCAGAACATTTCTAAGCTGGTTATTTCATTTGAAGTAGAAAATGAAGGACACAAAAATTTAATGAAGATGTTAAACTGGGGAACAAAATAGTTCAACAGTGGCAGTTAGGGAAACAAACCAGTAGATAAAATATCAGAAGGTCCTATTCTAGGAAAATGTCACTTAAATTTCAAGGGAATACCTTCCTTGAATTTTAATTCTAACCTTTAAAAAAAAGAGAAAGAAAACTTGGAAAGGTTAAAATACTATATCAAATGTTATAATAAAGAATATATAACTGGATACATAAAAGGCTGTTCTTCGTTATTTAAAAAAGTATACTGATATTGCCTCATAGAGACATGATGGAAGACTAATACAGGACTTTTTAGAGTTTTTCATTATATATTATATTCCGCTCACTTAATTCATTATATGCTATAATAATTAACTCTTATCTTGACTTACATAAAACCCTAACTTATCTGAAGATCATTAACAATACCTCAGTAAATATGTTTGGTTTTAGTCTATTTCTCTGTATCTTACTGCATTACATCAAAAATAAAACAGCTTAATTTTTGAACCCTTTCAAGCAGAGCTGGCCACAAGTAGACCAACTTCAAAAAACATTTGAAGAACTAGAAGAAAAAACATTAAAGATGAGATCAACAATCACACTGTATCTTTCTCCATGCTCTAGAAAAGGTTTAGGGGAGGGGTGGGTTTCTATAACCTCAGATGGACACAGTGGTTAGTAAACCACCAACAAATTGAACTTCCTTATTTTTCTTTACAAAAGCTAAGTCATAATCATCTTGATCACATTTGAGGAAAATGAAACCAACTCATTTTTACAATAACCTGCTTAGAATAGATGAAGAAAACCTGAAATTTTCCAAAACCTAATTAGGATCCCCACAAAAATGCTAAAAGGCCTCTAGAGTTTCTCTACTTGTGAAATTATGCATTGGAAAGTTTTCGGTAAAATTATACACTGAGAAGTTCAACGAATAGTAAACACCAACATCTACCCAGCTGGTGCAATTTATCACCAAGACCTGAGAATTCTGTTTCCAATTTGTTTCACTTTGCTCCACTCCTATGACTTTATATCAGGTCACTTCAAATCTTGTCTAAATTATTACAGCAGTCTCTTAACCAACTTTTACCTAGCCCCACCATACCCAAAACTGTATAAATACAAAGTTCAAACTTCTAAAAAGGTCTTTATAAGACCCTTTATAATATGACCTCTTCATATTTTTCTGGCTTCACCCTTTCCCACTACCACTCGACTCCCACCCAATACACAAATACAAATATGTGTTCTCCCACATGTATATACACTATATGAGGTGTGATCAAAATATATGGTGTGTGTTTAAATTAGGAAAGTTAAATATAGTAGAAGACATACTGCCATTAAACTCTCTCAAAATACTCCCTCTCATTTTTAACACACTTATGCCATCAAGCTTGCCACTTTCTAAAGCAGTTCTGGAAGCCCACTTCCATGAGTGCTTTTACAAAGTAAAAGTGTCATCCAGAAGAAAGGCAAACTTGTAAAAACACTACCTGAATTACATCAAAATCTACCTCATCTACCTGAATTGTTTTCTCCAACTCGTCTTTTTTTTTTTTTTTTTGCTAACTCTAACTCATCTTGAAGTCTGATTTTAATGCTGAATCCTCTGTGACACCTTCTTTGTCCCAGTCTTCCTCAAGCAGCCCAATCTGTAGAACCACACACCCTGAATTTACTCTCCACACAGCAATTCTCACTCTCAACCACTAACTGTCATTTGCCTAACTTTCCGTCCTAATGCAAGGTAGCTGAGGGTAGGGATGATGTCCTACTCAGAACTGTGCTCTCAGCATCTAGCTCAATGCCTGATGCACATGAGAAGCTGAGCAAATTCACTGAGTGAATGGATGTATCGTGAGAGAGGATACAGCAGTATTGGAAACCTTACTTAAAGGGGTAACATACCTGTCTTTCCAACTCTTGTCCTGTTATACCAGCCTCTACATGAGCTGTCAGATTGTTCTCATCGACCCAGAGAATTCGATTCTGTTGAAAAGGAAGACAGAATTCTCACCTCTAGGAACTATTAAGATTTTCTCCAGAACGATACAACTTCTTAATTCTAAGCAAAAAGTTACAAGGTAGAGATTAAGCAAGTAGGGTTCCCCACTACCACCTACCTGGGAAACACGCTCCACCTATCCCTTACTGCATCTCACGACATAGTAACAAAGGTAGTATGCGATGCAGGAGTCAGCTTGAAACACAGACTCTTCTTTATGCACATATTAATCGGAATTAAATTTCACCTCTTAGCTTACACAAATAACTATCTAGGCTTGACACACACATAAACAGAAATAGCTTCATAAATTATTTTGTACTACTAAAACCAGACTTCTTAGTCGGGCCTGACGGCACATATCTATAATCCCAGTACTCTGAGGCAGGATCCCTGCCTATGCAAGTTAACATCTTAGTGAGACCTCATCTCAAAATAAAAATAAAAAAGGGGTAGGAATGTAAGTCAGTGTCAAGGCCCTGGGTTCAATTTGCAACTCTTAGCAGTGAGTCTAAACTTTAGACTGTAATCCTATCATTAAAATTACATCTTTCACAAATCCCCACACAAAAATGTAACAGTATAAGTGAGTCTGGGTTATTCAAATTAACCTTAACTATTATTATCTGATCTGTTTTTAATAATAGAAACCAAGCCATCTAACATGTCAGTATTTCAATTTATGCTTCTCAAATGATCAACTTCACAGGCTAATTTGGTAGAATAGCAGCAAGATACACACCTTAGAGAAATGAATTTAGCTTTTGGATACCTGAAGATAAGGTTAAAATATAATAATGAAATACATTTAAAACAAAATGGAAATCTTTTTTAAATGACAATGGAAGCAGAGCCATAAGGACAATGTTTTAAACAGACACTATCTTCAAATGCATCTTAAATAATGGTATACCATTTGTGAAGTATCCAAAGATATTATTGTTCTTGTCTCATCTGCAGGGCACATTAGGCCATATGACACACTTGTTCCTCCTGCCAAAATAGGAAATCACAAGTTTATTTTTATGTATTTTACTTTCAGCTGCACTTCTAGGGCAAATCTCTAACAATGTACAGTTAGACCCACTAAGAAAGTCACACCTATTTCTATTGCAAAATACAATTTGCAAGAGCTAACACGCTAAAAGCAAACTCACCTTTCCTTTACGCTGTGTGCCAAAATGAAGCAGTACTATGGAACCGAAAGCAATGGGACATGGCTCCATCCCCTGGACATGACACACTCAAGTGAAGTCCCTAGCAGTTTGTAGAACTCCAAAAACATAATTAGAAAAGTTCTAAACTAAGGATTTCTGTGAAGAAGTAACTTAAAAAAGAAAGAAATTCATCATACACAACTATAGATACCATTAAGTCCTTTCTACCTTAATTATGAGATTCATTTATCATTTAAAATAACATCTTCTACTCTCATACAAAAGGACTTTGACAGAACAGAAACAAGTTAAAATGTCTAGATTAAACATTTAAACACAATTTTTATATTCTTTAATGAAAAAGTGCTTTTAATATAGAGGAAACAATGAATTGTTTCACAAGACCAGATCACAAATTGCCAGTTAGAAACATAATACCTTTGATCAGTAACTATTTGCTTGTACTGTCATTCACAATCAGAAAAAATATTTCATAAACAGTGGCACTATAGTCTCTTTTTTTAAAATTTACTATAGTGTCTTTTGCACGAACTCAACAGACAGTATCAGCTGCAAAGGTGCTCCAGCAACTGCTGAGTTCATTTCTATTCCATCAATACCAATGTAGTCACTGCAGGTAACACATCCCTTGGCTTGTATATATTATGTGATCAAAAAATATGGTGAGGTTTTAAAAAAATTTATCATAGTAAAAGATGTATGACCATTATCCCCCTCAAAATACTCCTCTTGGCTTCAAACACGCTTATCCCACCTTTCTTCCCATTTTTAGAAGCAGCTCTAAAACATATCCTCTTTTCCAAGTGTCTTTGGTTGGTGCTGTCATGACTGCCTTGACCCTTGATTAAATTTAAAATGTTTAGCTGTCATGGTCATTTTGACTTGGGAAAAAGCCAGAGGTTACAAGGCACCAGTGCCAAGGAAAATTACTTGAAAACACACCGTAAGTTTTTATTTTACAAAAATAAACTTTTAAATCAATTCAGAACAGAGGCACCCAGGGCAGTGCAATCAAAGATACTCATGAAAGAGTACTTCTAGAGCTGCTTCAGAAAGTGGCAAGAACAATGATGTAAGTATGAAATGAGGAGTATTTTGAGGGGGATTAATGCAATGTGTCTTTCATGACAATCATTTTTAAAATTTAAACACGTATATTTGATTACACCAGATAAGTTATTAAAACAATGTAGCTAATAAAAGATCAAAAGAAATCAAATTTACTTTAAAATGCAGAAGTACTATTTTTCTGTATTAAAAAATATTGTTCATCACTGTACTGGTGATTTTTTTTTTTTGTACGAGGAATCAAACTCAGGACCTTGTGCCTGCCAGGCAGGCACTGTGCCACTGAGCTATATCCCCGGCCCCTGGTGATCTTTCAATCTGCATGTTTTCTGATTACTCTGTTTCTCAAAAAATTATATTATGAGGCCGGGCGTGGTGGCGCACACCTATAATCCCAGCACTCGGGAGGCTAAGGCAGGAGGATCGTTGCGAATTCAAGACCAGCCTGGGCTACAAAGTGAGCTCAAGGACAGCCTGGATTGCATAACGAGACCCTATGTCAAAAAGACAAAAAAAATTATGTATATTTATATTTTACCTTTGAAAAATAAAATTCTCTCCATAAACATAAAAGTTAGAAAATAATTACTAAAGCAAGAACTTTTCCTTTTTTTTCTTTTTACACTGAGCTACATCTCTTTATTTGTATTTTGAGATGGACTCTCATTAAGTTGCTAAGTTACCCAGGTTAAGGTGAAACTTGTGATCCTCCTGCCTGCCTCTGCATCCCAGAGTGCTAGGATTACAGGCATACACCACAATGTCTGGCTAGGAATGACTTCTTGGTCAGCCATTATAAAGTTACAACTATGATCCATATAGGAAAAAAATCCATAAATTAAGGGTTATACCATGTCTCAAAACAGTTGAGACATTCCTTAGAGCAGGAATGAGCACTATAAATCAATTTTTGAAAATAACTACATCGTAATTACAAAAGTATTTGTATTCAGTGGATGAGACAAATATTTTAAATAAATATTTAGCATCATATTAAAATATGAAAAGCACAATACCTACCACCAATTGGTATGATACACAGGTTGTATTTGCATGCTAGATTCACAATCTTAACTACATCATCATGACATGCTATTAAAAGAAAAGGAAAATGAAGAAATTACTAGGATGTGATTAATATCTGGTAACCTTATAAAACAAGGGTTTATAAAGTTCTTTAGCATACAAATTTCATTTATTCACTGATTAACAAATTAAACAGCTACATTAACATCACCTTTTCTGGACCAGCATATCAAATCCAAATACACACACTGATTTAGCTATCATATTTCCACTAAAAATCA